TTTTCGAAAATGGGAATCTGAAACCAGGTGTCTGAGATTGACAAACGCTTTCAAGATTAATTTGATCAGGGACACTGGGAGGTGCTCGAGGTGTATTTAGAAGTTATTTCCCCTCAGATGCTGGTTGTGCTCGTCTTTCTCTCTCTCTCTTTCTCTCTCTCTCTCTCTCTCTCTCTCTCTCTCTCTCTCGATCTCTAACTTCTCTTCTTACTCTCACAGTTTCATTCGGACCATTTTGCACCGCTGCAGCCAAATACGATTCAGTCGACGAGACCGAATCGATTCGAAAAGATTTCATTACTTCCCCTCATCAGATGTAGTTGTGACATTATTTACTGCGCAATTGGGCTACTGGCGTTTTTCAACACAATAACGTCTGGTATATACAGACTCTTTCGGAACAAGATTTATTGCAAAAAATGTTTAGAACCGAAGACATGTAAAAATGCAGAAAATGACAGTTCGTTAACGTTATTGTTGTAATATTATGTAAGATCACTGACCGTCGTCTTATGGCGACAAACATTAATTGATTCATCAGAAAAAATATTAATTTATAGCAATGTCATCTATATTGAATGTTATTACAAATATTTTCTTCTAGGAAAATTAATTGTGTTGTTACGACAGCGCTCATAGTGAAGTTCATGAATCTCTGCACAAAACAATCTCTCTATTTCGTTAAAGGAAGATGCTAGATAGGATATTATTCCCTCTACCCGGTTTATCAAACAGACGGAATACATCGAAATTTGTAGAAGAATGAGGCGAAATATACTGGCGCGCTTATAACCCACAAGCTACAGTACGCACACTACAACCTTTTTGGCCATAATCGACAAAAAGAATCATCCATTTTTTACCATCTATGATTCTTTTGTTGGTTTGGTTCTTCTGGGTAACATCCACTCTCTAGCGCGAGCGATGAAAATCTTGAGAATTTCGAAGTTCGTTAAAAAATGTATAAAAAATTAGATTGACTGCGATGACTGAGATATTCTCTGCGATTTAACTATAGCTTTTTGTTTGTTGATATCAATAGTAAAATATTATATGCGGGCGTTTTCTTGAGCCCCAGAATACCTTCCTACACTTATTTACTAACATTAGTTGAATTACGCATACATATAAGCAACGGGCGTTCTGGACAAAATCTAATGGCCGGAAACGTTCGCTCCCGGGCAACAGGAACTATTTTGCATCAGAAACGGTCCTCGGATTTGATATAATAGTCCTATAGTCAAAATACCTAACACTCCCACACCTGTTTCATCTAGCGAAATGAGGGCTCAAGCAAATGTGCGCAGACAATAGCCTTTGCTCTTACGTGATCTATCTGATGAAACCTACAGTTGGTCTCAGACTAAAGCTATTTCCATTTTTAAATCGACGATTTTAAGTGTTTGTATGGATCCAATAAATATGGTTTAAAGCAATTTTATAGAATGCGATATTTTTCACTGCTCTTTTCTTAATACGTCTCAGTCACGTGCCAGTTTTGCAGATATTAATTGAAAAACTTTTTTCATTATATTGAAAATTAGCTCGTAATTCAATTTCAACATCCAGGGAAAATTATTGAAGAGCTTAAAGAAATCATTTAAGAATAATACGAGGATATTATGACAAAAATATAATTTTCTCGGAAATGGGAGATAAGTTTCTTTCAATGGGATAGCAAGAATGTAATGTACGTCACCAATTTACAGCACGCGCAAAAATTTAAAGAATCTATTCAATCACCGCCCGTGTGAAAGATATTAACAGTTTTGTAGGATTCCCAGGCACCCGGTACAAATTCAAACACAATGGAAATAGTTCGATTTTGTCTGAAAAATGCAAATTTTCAATTGTGTTATTCGTGTTATACTCGTTCTGCGCGAGCCGACATAATTCTCACTCAGTGCGTACACACAGCTGCCGTCGCGCCACTGCAAGACTGAGGACGCCGCCATAAAGGCCCTTGAGGTTATATTACTAACTAGTGGAGCCGGTAATGCTTCGCTGTTGTAGTGTATTAAATAAATACAATTCACGTTCAAAATGAATTTACTCAGTGAAGATCAACTACGAATTAAGTACCCTTTAAATACGTATTAACTACACTTGACTATATTGAATTGCACTTTAAAAATCATACACTTGAATAATCTTGTGTTCCGTCAGCATTTGGTTCAGACTTCCTGCTTTTTAGATCACAACATTGATGTTATTTGATATTACGATTAGAGTTGAGGCGTGCAGTTTAAAAATATATCTATAGATTACACTTCAAGCAAGATCCACTGGGAATGGCATAGAGCCTACCTCATAGATTAACTTTACAAAACCAACGCCATTACATGTTCGATTTAATTTAAACACCTTATTAAATATTTCCCATACCAATACCAAGGTGAGCAAATTTCAGCAAATCGATGGAGTAGTTTTTTGTGTCTATGTGCAAAAGCCCTGAGCACGTTCACTTTTATTTATATATTCAGATAAGTAGATTTTCCATATGCGAATTTTCCATACGCGAATTTTCAATACGCAAATTTTCAATACGCGAATTTTCAATACGCGAATTTTCAATACGCGAATTTTCAATACGGGAATTTTCAATACGCGAATTTTCAATACGCGAATTTTCAATATAGGATTTTCAATACGCGAATTTTCAATATAGGATTTTCGACACTAGCTAAACATCTGGTCGAAATTAGTAGCTATGTGTAATAGAATCCTCGCGGCTGGTTGCTCTGATTGGCAGTTTTCTGTGGTTCCTCTGCTTAGCACCAGGGGAATGCAGGAGAAATACCCGCATTAAGCGGACCGTGGGAAGCGCGAGATCTTTCCTTCCTCTTCTTTGTCCTACCCTCGTCGCTATCTTACACACACTCTAACTTGCACTTCACCGCCACACATCTCGGGAGAGCGGACGGGACCTCACGGTTTGACCTGCTGGGGCCCTGGCTTGCTGCTGGGTGATACTTGGTTGGGGAAATTCCGACAAGCTGACGAGAAGGTAGGCGCCAGATCTCACCATCCAGCAGGGGAAAATCACCACCACATCCCGTGATAAACATATACTACACATACAGGAGTAAAATCCATAGCATTTGACGCGCTTGAAAACAATTAATAAACCCACTGCGAGAACACAGAAGTTGAAAGAATTCTATGCAGCCTCCGATCATGTGAGAAGTGTCTATGGATTCGTTAGGTACCTACGAACTCGGGGAAAATGCAAAAAGAATGAGTTTCAATCCTGAATTAACAACGTAAATATCTGAGTGTGCTAACCCTCAGTGCCTCAGCTGCTGCTCGATTTTATTCTCAAGCGGAGGGCGGCGCAGTCGGGTGGCGGGTTCGAGTCTCGCAGGGGCTTGGTTGTAGGCAGTGGCACAATTGGCTCGCTTTAAATCATCCATATGCCACCAAATAAAATAAATAAAACTTTTCTTTCTATTCCCTCGTCTTTGTTAGTTGGTAGAGCGATTTGGTCTGCCTGCGGACAGGAATAGTAATGCACCGTGAAAGGGCCTACAGAACACGATGTGCGTGCCAGTTTTCCTCCAGACCTAATCGTTTCTTGGCGTCGCTTTGTGCTTGGGGTACAGACGGTTGTGTAGCATTAAGCTCAGAAAGATTTGTAGATGACGCTGCGGTCAAAAGTACGTGCGCAATTTGCTACTTCACCCACCGTCTTCCTTTTTACTCCAAGGAATCAGAACATTTGCAATGCGATGGAGAAAATGTATTTCTGTTGAAGGAAACTATGATGATAAATAAGGGGCATCATTTATACTTTTATGTATCATCAATAACGCTGTTTTACAAAACTCCGGTCTTGAGTTACCGTGGTATGTGCAGAGACTTCATTAGCCTATGGCCTCACTGGTGTGGAGTGAGAGCCTTATGTACGAGGTGCATCAAGGTGTCAAAGAGCTGTGATAGAACCGAGGGCGAGAGACTGCGGTCGTAAGACGAAGTTATGCTCAATGACGATTATACTCAATGCGTCTGTGTTTTCAACACAGCTGACATCATGAAACTACGATGCTTCACTATTGACGTGTACCATTTCAGAACAATCAGTTTTTTCTGCTCCAGAACCCCATTTTACACACAGTCAATTGCAGACTTTTTGCTGCTGCAGATCACTCGTATTTGCTATTCATGTGTTGCGTTACGAAGCAGCAACATTTTTTACATATTTGGTATTAAAATAATACTTTTAAATACAAATTTTACGTTGAGAATAAAAGAGCAGACTTATTGAGGAATTACTATTGTGCAAAGTAGAAAACAGAAAGGTTTATAAAATGACAAAATTTCCCTTGGAGTATAAAGCTTAAAGAAAGTTTGTGAATAGAAATTCTAAGAGAGAAAAAAGAGGAACAACGTTTTATGATTTTATACAACATTTTTCTCCTGTTTTGGTCTAGAAAATCATGGTGGTTGCAAAGCAGTGGATTCCTCCTGTGCGAGATACCTCTAATTTGTAAATGCATTTAATGGGATACAAAGAATTTGTTTTTATTTTCGTGGAATGAGATAAGCACTGAAATATCATTTCAAAGACGTGGTCAATACTCAAAAAGAAAATAACATTCGTACTTTATCCTCAATAGAGTTATTTTTTGTGAATAATATCGGCTAAAGCGAGACACCTTTTAACAGACACGAAGTGTGAGATTGAGAAGAAATGCTCGCACAAACTGGGAAAGCCCTCATGTGCCTCATGTTCCCAAATCCTGTGGAGATCGATGGGTCCCACGGGACGGCCTTTATCTTAGCTGAAGGGTAAGCCAACAAAATCCCTAACCGAAAAACGTGATGTAGAACATCTCGTAGAGAATAAAGATTTTTGTAGGTGATCCTTTGTGTCTTTAACACATTATTAATAAGTACCTATCTCAGTCATACGGAATAGCCATTACTAAAAATAATTGAAACTGATTAATAATGATTATTCCATAAGGAGCGGCCGTTAGGGAGGAGCGGCGCGCACTCACCCGTGTGCTTGACGGAGCGCATCTCCCTGCTGTGCGCCAGCACGGCGGCCAGGATGAACACGTAGCAGTAGGCGATGACGGCGACGGGCGCCACGAAGCCCAAGGTGAGCAGGTAGACGTAGAAGGCGCGGTTGGACGGCGTGCGGCTCAGGTAGTCCCACGAGCACGACGTGAGGAAGCCCTCGGGGATGTATGCGCTCCAGCCGAACAGCGGCGGCACGCACAGGCACACGCAGTACAGCCACGCGCCCACGCACACCTGCGCACACGGGCACACACGGGCACCGCCGCGCTCGCTCGCCTCCGCCCTTCCGGAAGAGGACTCAGCCAGATTCGCTAAGAAGACATCAGTGCTACTTGAACAAATACAAAAGAAAGTAACAAGTTGTTTGTAGAATTGAATGTGTGATATAATTTTATTTAAAAGCATTATTATTTGTTATTTTAATAATTAAATATTATATATTAATATAAGGGATTTTACAGCTTCAATTGTATTTTATAGAATGTTTTGTAAAGTTTTCCCCGCATCCAAGTTCTCGTCATGGATGGCAGACGCTAAGCAAGCCATTTTGCTTGGAGGTAAACTCGGCTCAATGCTAATCACTAGGAACGAGACTTACGGGCAGTCGGAGTGCGTAGAGATCCGGTCTGCGATGCACTGGCTGAATTGTTTCACAAATAGCTAAATCATTATTATCACCAATTTTAGGGGCCAGCTCATTACCCACATGGCAAACTATTCATTATTAATAAAATGATAATTATTTACAAAATATTAATATTATTTAATTGTGGAATGTAGAAGATGCCCAAGCCTCTTATTAAACGTACAATGGGGATTTCATTCTCAAAGCAATATTCTGGTTATAGTCCGAATGTATTGTGGTAACAGAGCTTCCACTGTTACGTGGCATCCAGCTCTATAGCAGCACCTAACGAACGCAACTTAACAAATTGTTAACAGCCGAAGTGGAGATCGTCCCTCCTCTTCGAAACAGCTTCACAGGCTGAATGAGAATACCTTTATTAATGCATTTACGTAACGAAATTATTTACATTACGTTTATTTTTTTAGTATTAGTAATATAATGATATATTATTTACATTACCTTTAATTCTCATCTCATCAAGAAAATTCCTATCCTTTAGCTGTTTGTCAAAAAGGTTCTTGTGTCCGGGTGCCCGTGTTTTAGCCAATATGGTCGATGACAGGACCACCTTCGAGTAGCTTTGTTCAGATCACATGACGCGTGATCAGCGGTTTAGGTTGTGTTTAAGTATTCGAATATTAAAGCGGTCCTGTACAGTTGGGGGCCATTGTCAATCGTGTTGTGAATTCCAGCAGAACCCGAGTCTCCCTAAGTACGAATCCATTATATGACATGACGGAAAGTGATGAACAACAAATCTATTCTAATAAAAGCCAATTCAACGACATGTATTCGACATCGATTCCACAAAGAGGAGTGAATGAGTAGACATGAAATATTTGCAGGCTCTTCTTCAGAATTGCCGCAGTGTCCTTGCAAAGTTTTGTAAAGATTAATGCAACACAAATACGGAAAATAAATAATTTAAATAAAATGTTGGTAGATGCACCACCATCATTATTTTTCGCATGACGCTGAGAGACAGGTTCCTAATATATTCCACGAAACACCAGCAGCGGCCCTAACCCTGTGCAGTGTAGAACCGTATGCCCGATCTCCATGAAAGATGGCGCGTTTTTTCAGGCAGAAGGTTTTTGTGCTGTTAATTTTGTTGTAACTTGCTATTAAATGGCACTTAAATGGCACTTCAACACAAGATTGCGCTTCATTTTAATTCATTTTCCATTCAAACAGTTCCACCTGGGCTTCAGAGTTGTTGGACGTTGCCGAGAGAGAGAGAGAGAAAGAGAGAGAGAAAGAGAGAAAGAGAAAGAGAGAGAGAGAAAGAAAGAGAGAGAAAGAAAGAGAGAGAGAAAGAGAGAGAGAGAAAGAGAGAGAGAAAGAGAGAGAGAGAGAAAGAGAGAAAGAGAGAAAGAGAGAAAGAGAGAAAGAGAAAGAGAGAAAGAGAAAGAGAGAGATGGAGGGAGAAAGTCGGAGAAAGAAAGAGATGGAGAGAGAAACAAAGAAGGGGAGAGGCGGAAGGAGAAAGAGGGAAGGGGAGGGAGATGGAGAGCACGGCAACGTCTGCCGGGTTGCGCCAGTGACTTATAAGACACCGTTAATTTACTTTCGTTTTCGAAAGCACCATGTTCAGTAATGGGTCAACTATTCGTACTTCAACAGTATTTGACAGAGTTGGTGTATCAGTACATCTGAGAAATCTATCCTCTCTTCGGCCAGGTTCTTGCGGTCGTTCAAAATATATAAATTCATATAACTTATTGTATATCTTGTTCAATGTCTTGGAGAAAAGTGCTTACAAAATCACGTATGCACGCACGTTTACATATGTTTTAAACTATTGGCATTGGAGTGAGGGAATGAATGTAAGTGGCGTTGATTTTAGACCTCCGTAAAGTGCCAAATCTATTGCTAAGAATCTCGTTGAGACAATATTGTATGTGTGCTTTATTTTGATCTTTTATGGAGATAGAATATAAAAAGAACGTGCGTTAGAGAGGTTAAGAAACACCAGGTATAATGAAATTGTCAACGCTGAAAACGTGTTCGGCGTGGTTCTGAAGCTGAAGATGCGGAATAAAGCACGAATGCGTCCAACTGGCTCTGTATTCCCATCGATCAGACCCCTGTGTGTGAGGAAGGTCACCCGCGCGGTTCCACCTCTCTCGGCCTTAATCGCACGCCGCGAAATGGTCCCGCTCGCGTTGTAGTCGACATCGCCCTGCCTCGTACACAAACCGAACCGCCCCTTGGCAATGCGCTGCACGCGCACGCGATAAATGCGATAAAACAATCCTTCTGCGTCCCTCTTATTATTAATGTTTGGGAAACGAGTTGAAAGTTCACAAAGTTCAGTGTTCTAATCAATAATTACTCGTATTAATAATTATATTAAGAGCTTGTTCCATGTTTTACTTCATGTAAATAAGTGGAATAAGTAATTCACGGCTACATATGACGCGATAAGAAAAGTGTGTTGCAATTGATTATTGTTTGTTCTGAGATTCAGACGTTTATATCAAGGTGTGCTTATTAGTATTTTTTCCACATTCAAAACTATTACTAATTCATGGAGTTTTCATAAAACGTATCAATTTAATTTGCCAATTTACGTAACAAAGGAAACACGTTCAGAATATTCAATTTTCGAGGTAATAAGTCACACACTTTAATTCCCCATTGGGCCTTCATGTAATAAATCTTAATTCAAATTTTGTAATAGAAATAAGTGCCAATATTTTATACTATTTCATGATTCTAATCAAGGGAATATATTTTAAAATGTTGAAAACGATTTAAATCACAGAGATTAATATTAAGCCAGGATTTTGGAACTAATTATACATGGGAAATTTTACTAATTGTGTACAAATGTTTTGTACCAAACTAGCATTTTAAAAGTTAATTCACTAAATATGAGTTGTACGTAACTAGTGGTCGAAATTTTGCCGTCATTCATTCAACAGTTTTTTACGTTATTGAGTTTTCTTTGTCGAAGAGTATACCTATACAATTATTGCAAATATTATTTTTTGAATTTTTTCTGTTACTTCATATTAGAACGTAAACAAATAGGTCATTAGCGTATATTTTTGCCTTAATTTCCTGCTGTACCTATGCAATGTGAAAACCTACGAAAACAGGCGGATCGCTGGGCTTTTTGCCTCCCCCGAATGGCTAGGAAATAAAACGTAACGTGGCATCGTCACCTCAACTGCAATCAGGGCAAAGTCCTTCACAGTCAAATATGTTTGTTTACGTGCAAAGTTATAGTAAGTGAAAAAATAACGCCACTACGAATTTTATACAAAATAATAAAGTTAATATCCGAAAATTATTACAATTGCTATTGGTATTATTAATATGCCTTACACGCACACAAATGTAAATATGGAAAGAAGAATTTTTCTCTTGAACACTTAACTCGGAAATGTTGTTTAAAAAGTCTTATTTCCTAGATTGTCATTAAAAACTGGTGTTCCCTGGCGAACCCGAAATCGGGATGTAAGACTAAAACGCATCGTTTTGGAGATGTATGTTCGGTGGTGGCTTATTGCAGCGGCTTGCAGCTGCCTCTGCGCGTTACAATATTTAGTTTTAATTAATATATGTAACACACGTTACTCATAAATTTTAGCTTTCTGCATTCCTTTCTGGTATAAACTTTAACTATGCCAAATCGCATACTCCTCTGTGCGCACAATTTTTTTAAGCAGGGGAACAAAGTTTTCTCTTCAAGTATTAATAGTGTCCGGGAAGGAAACGTCGAAATTTCGAAAATAAGCTCTTAAGAAAATTTTAATCACATTTTGTCTTATATATATATATATATATATATAT